TATTTATTATTTTATCGCATTGTATCTCTGTATGTTTGAATTTTTTGCAACTGCTACGTTTTTTTTTTTTTTTTACATAAACTTTACACATTTTTCGATCCGTTTCTAATATTCTCACGCGGAAATTCGAGAACGGTCACGTTGGAAGAAGCAGCTTTCGCAGGAAGTCGGCGACAACGATTACTCAGATTTCTCGAAAGGAGTGTCCTCGCGTCTCGGTTTTCCTCTCTGGCTATGCAGCCACCTCTCGTCCCTTCCGATTCTCCCCAGCAGAGGAACTACCCGTTCGCGCGGGGTGAAAGGGGAGAAGGAAGAAGAAGAGGTGCGCCCGCGGAGGTAACCCCTGCGGGTCACGCAGAGAACGGCGTTTTACCGACTATTAACTCACTTTTACCCCTGTTTCATACCCTCGCGGCCTAGAATGCCGAGGGGAAGGACGGCGGGTCTGCAGGCGCCGACGAGATAGAAATGAAAGGTTGCGGAATCCCTTCGCATGTGTATTTCTTCCCCACTCGACGCTCCTCGCGTAATCTCCCGTTTTTTTTTTCCCTTTCTCTGCGCTATTCTCGCCTCCCAACGATATTTCTCTTTCCGCTTTTCCGAACTTTTCGGGATGGACGCGTGCAGGTAGCAGTCCAGGTACCTGCGCGACTACTCGAGGAGGAGCGAGGGGGAAAAAAAATGCGAGATCTCTCCGGGTGCCACGCTCGATTTAACCCCTGAGAAAAATCGCGCGATCCCCTCGGAGTCGTCGCAGTTGATTTTGAGGGTTAACCGATTTCCCTGCGAAATTTGAAATCCGAGAACGTGTTTTTTTTCCAACGCTTCCCGATCTGATCTACGCGGTGTGCACCCGTTTAAAGGTTTAAGTATCTCGTAAAAATGGGGCTCGAGACGAGGTCTTTTCGTGCCCTTCCTTCCTTTTTTGCGCACGACTTCCGAGGTTATGGGGGTCGAATGTCAGTCACCGTCTCTAATTTGAGCCCCGAGCGTATCAGAATGATCTCGATTATTTTATTGTTCAATGTCTTTACGGCGATTTTTAGAAGTATATATCAAACAGATAATATTATAGTAATGCAAAGCCTTCTGAATTTAGCCTCTTCGAAAACCAGCATTTGATACATCTTTCAATTATTGCAAATAATTATGCGAATAATTTAGATTGCGCGATTTTCTAGTCTATTTATTCTGTAAAAGAAATTTTTAATTGATTTTTTGTCTCACAAATTTTATTGTGTCAATTTTCTTAAGTAGATTCTCAAGGTTTATTCTTGTTTCCCAACGACGTTATATATCGCACGGTATTTTATAAATGAGAAATGTTGGGAGGATGACTCATCGCAATACGTTTTTCTGCTACGATTGCGTATCGATGAAGCATGACTCGCCGCTACATAAGGTGATTTGGAGTAAAGACGAAAGGGAGAACGTCTCCAGAGGAAGAGAAACACAGGATCCCCGCGGCGCGGTATCTTCCTCCGGTGAGAGAGACTGGGCCTTAAAAATCGAGTCAATTTAAGGACCTGGCCGCGAGCGAGGTACAGCGAAACGCGTATACGCATGCGATTCTTCAGGAATCTCTCTCGCGAAGATGAGAATTCATTTAATACCGGAACGAGCGTCGGAACTTTTTTGCGCTATTTATGACGTCCCTGCTTCGTTATATGTTTCGTTAATTATAATCCTTTATTAATCACATGAAAAGAGCAAAATTCTACATGTAATCACGATGTTCGAGAAATACAGATTCAAAATGATCGGCGAGTTTGAGAGCTGAAGACATATTGAGCGACAAATATTTTCCCACAACATACATCATTTTTCCGTTTCTCGGGGGAGTCCGTATTACGATGGCTAGTCATTTTTCATCGACTGAAACTGCCGCAGAGCTCTTGTGTCGATGGCGAATGAACCATTCATCCAGTGATACAGGACGCTCTGTTCGTTTAACGAAAAAAAAAAAAAGAAAGAACGATGGATAGTTTGTAGGAAGAGTGGAAGAAAGACTTAACCGCGAGAAACGAGGAAGGATAAATCAAGAAAAAAAGAGATCCAAGGGGTTTCGTAATTTTAGTAGACGTCATCGATCTAACCATCGGTAAACCCCGACGTGCCCCTTCGGGGGGGTCGCGGAGTTCTGCTCTCAAGGGGTCTTTAAGCCCTTTCCCAATTCCGAGTCTCTTTCTATTATGTTCCTTTTCTCGTTTCCTCATTTCTTACCTCACCTGCGAGCGAAAACCACTGGCAACCTCCAGGATCGCGAGCTCCGGCGTTCTCAGGGCTTACTTGCGCGAATAAAACGCATCCTATCTACCTGGTGTGTCCGCGGATTATACCCATCAGGGTGAAAAACCTACTGAAAACAAGCTTTACCTGTCATCTTCATTGAATTGTTCGCGACTAAAAGTCCACTTTTTTAACGGTCTGTATATTTTTCCAAACCAAAAATTTCTCAAAGTAATACATAGAAAATTATCGTTCTTGGATTATTAGCGACAAATTTGTAACGGCGAGATTGTTAGGTTCAAGTTTATTTATGCGCCATTGTATTTATTTATTGTTTTTATACTTACACTGAAGATGGCCTAAGCCGAAGGCCGAAACGTAATGTTTCTTTAAATCACATTTTATAAATAAACGTTGAGCACTAAGTCTTAAGCTCAGGCTCTATTAGCTGCTCATTACTTTATGAATAATTTATTTCTGAAAGTGTTTTATAGAATTCTTTTTTTTTATATATACAGAATTTATTTACTTTTAATTTACAGAAAATATATGAAATCATAACTATTGAGATGCAATAAGTTTTGGTAAAATTTTAGAAAACAAGCTACATTGAATTTATTTAAGAAATATATGAGTTCATGTACAAGTTACATTTTTTATTATAAAAACTATCAAAAAGATCGATTAGCAATCGAAGTCTATTCGATAGAGTATTGAGCAGTATTACGAACTTTTTATATTTTTCCCCATAGAATAGCTCGGAGCAGATGTACCTGCCAACAGTCGATTACGCGGCTTTTAGAATCGGGACGTCTCAATTTCACGACTCCGAGCCCAAGAAAAAACTTCCCCCGCGGTCTCTCCCTTTTACTGCCTTCACCTTGAAGCAACCGCACGTCCCTCGTGGAATCGCCGCCTATTTTCAGTTTGCTGTACCAATCCGGCTGTACCAACTCTCTTTTCCCTTGGACCAATCCGGAAATCGGTCACCCCTCTGTAAGATCTTTTCGAATTCAGGAAAGAATGAAAGAAAGCAATCGCGAGGAGTCAGTCTCGCCGGTATTCTGGCGAAGATCAGAACTCCAGAATTTTTGGAAGTCGGCAAGTAGGTAGGTGCAAAGAGGCCCAATAATTCGAAACAATAACGGGCAGCAGCGATATTCTTTTATTTCACTTAACAAGTCTGCTTTTAATAATTAAAACAATGCCAGTCGAATGACGATGTCTTGTGAGCTGGCAATAATTAAAAATTAAAATGCGAATATGAATCGGCTAGTCAATCGTTTCCGACCGATAGCTTGTAATTTTATAACGCTTCTTATCTAGAGTCGAGCCTTTCTAGAGCACGAAGTTTTCGCGTTCGTTTAATTCGAAGGATTTATACCCAGCCGGCTTTTATCAAGCAGACATATACGAATTTTGCTCGGTTACGCCGGCGATTCAATAAATAACATTTGTTCGCGAATGTTTTGATCGCTTTTGCTCGGCCAGCTTGCGTAGAAAACGCGTTCGTTAAAGTTGGCACCGATAAGACGTCAAAGTTAACAATTTTATGGATCGCGCGATATTCCGCAGCTATTCGTTAAGCCACGCGGACAACCGTGAAGACGTCAATAACGTCGATACGTCAATGCTCAGATCGCTCTTTTTCCCCACTTCTCAGTTAGCTCCAATAATACATATTACGCACCTTGGATTTCTCGAGCAAGAAGTTATATATCGATAATAAAACCGCTTTGTTATTAATTACGAAACCACTCGGTCTATGAATGCATCTGCTTTACGTTATGAAATTTATTTCAAATTTTATTTATTTTAAAAGTTATTATAAACTTTATTAATATTATATATAAAATTTAATTTGTTTAAACTTCTTATTACATAAAAATTAAAGGGACGGCTCTTAATATTTCTATGAAATTAAATCTATATTTTAAAGCTTTATAGAGCCTGAGCTCTTGTTGCTCAAATGATTTATTTACATATTATGATAATGTGATGTATCGATAAGTAAGTCAACTGAGTTACCGATGTTACGGTATTCTAAATATCGCGATAATTCGGCAATCGTTGTAAGAGTCAGTCACCACTGAGCCGTCACAGAGTATTGACTCCATACTAAACACTCCTATGTTCGTGTATGTGATAGTATAATAAAGGTTATTTAATACAACTTAAACCAGTGCGTATTAGTTAATAGGCTAATACATAACAGATAACAATAAAAAATTTCGGCATTATGGCTGAGGCCATCTTCAGTGTATATATAAGTACATGTAAGTAAGATGGATAAATACAATACGCATGACGACTTAATATTAAAGCGTCAACTGTCTTGACATTTAAAAAAAATAATCTTCTGACGCATAACAATGTAATTCTCGTGTGTTAGTTTGCGAGTTGTAAAGAAAACTCATATTTCAAGAAGTTGCACGAGCCGTAGAAATTTTAATTATTTCTTATTTTATGTTACGTGTTACAACTTATTTGATGAATTATTTTTGTTTAATATTGAAATTATCTAAATGATACAAGAGTTATAAAGAAATTGTTATACTGTGAGTCAAAAATGATGTGTCGAAGTTATTAAAACGAACATAAAGTTTATACCTTATTAATTCTTAAAGTTGTAATAGTGCACAACTCATGTTATCTCGTTAAAATTACGAGTTCAGCGTTTGTTTTGTATAAAAATGTTTTCAATTGCTCTTAAAAATTAAAAACATTCGAGATCTTTCAAATAACAAAAAGATGTTTTTTTTTTTTTACAGGGAAAGCGAAGGTGAAGGAGGAAAAGGACGCTTCCTCGATGGCGCCCGGAAGTCCACCCACGCCTCCACACACTCCGCAAAGTCCGCAACGTGCGATTCCACCTCTCGGCAACCTGTCGCAATCCTGCCAAACGTCAAACACGAACTCGCCGAATTTGCAACAACAGTCGCAACAGCAGCAGCAGCAAGCGCAGCAGCACCAGTCGCAAGAACAGCAGCATCCTTTGCATTCCGTGACTAATTCACCTCTGAGTCAGATATTGGTGCAAAATCCGGGACTGGCGCAACTATTACAGCAAAACCCGGCTATTCTATCGCAGAATCCGCAATTGGCGCAATTGCTGCAGCAGAATCTGCAGGTTCAGATGGGCAGCGTGCTTTTTCAGAACGTCAGACGGGAGGAATCTGAGGACTCGAGGGTAAATTTTTTTAATCTACTTATCTAAAAATTATCGCGGAGTTGATTACACTTCAGCCGAGATTGTTGAGATTGTAGCATAATTTTTAAGATTCACATAATTGTTGTTATTGCATCAGAAAGAAATGGCTGTGTAATATCTTGGAGTTAATATATTTTTATGGAGCTATTGAGTGTAATGAACTCGGCAAGAATATATTAAAAATTTAAATAGCGCTGAATTATGGCGTCAAAAGCGAGAGACAGCCATAAGTTGTCCAAAAAACAATACGCGGTGACTCATCCGACTCGAGTCGTCATCAGATCGTAAAATTACCGACAGGAGCTGTGCGAGCTTAACTGTGCTAGAATAATTCAGCGCTTCCTAGAATCGTAAGCGACGAACAATCGGTTATGATACGTCGTAATAAAAGTCGATAGAGACTTCGCCGCCTGGAAATCATTCTCTTGTCAAATACCTTTGAGCTTTCTATTATTAATCGAATCGTTTATCTTCGAGATCCGGCATCTCTTCTTGGTAGACGAAATAGGAATAAAGTATCTTACAATATATCTGCAAAATTTTCGGGTGCAATTCATTTCTCCACGCGTATTTTCAAAGCGCTTTATTCAAAGGTATTTGATAAAACTTGTCTCTCTTTTTTTTCTATTGCACATTTCCAGACGAAACAGCACTCGGTATATTATGTATATTATCATTATGCTATTATCAACGACGCGATTTCACGAGAGGAATGTTCGCATGCGCCGGGATACCCAAAGAGCAGCCACGAAACCGCGCGCAGACGATCCGACTATGGGATCGCTGCTGTGGAATTCCATACAGGGAGAATTGAAATTATTCCCCCGATTTTTGTCGTGTCGTTTACATTATTTTCGCCTTTGAATATTAATGGGCATATGCTCTCCGGCGTTATGGCACAAGAAGTAACAACGGCGTATAATACTCGAGTCTTAACGTTATTCTATTGTTTGCAAATCAGCTCTATTGTTTTCTCATATACCTCTATACTCTCTCGCGTACCCTCTTCGCCCCCTTCTTGCCCCGCGCCACTCCCCCCGTCCCCCCTTCCCCACTTCCTCCTTCAAGCGGCGTCGCCCCCCCTCTTTTCGTTCCCCCTTTATCAACGTCTCTCTCTTTCTCTCGTTGTTACTCTCTTTCTCTCCGCCTCTCTTCGTCCCTCCACGTCGATTCTCCTTTTCCTTCTCGTCGCCGCTCTTCTCGCCCCACGCTTGTCTCATTCCGATCTTTTTCTCTTTCTTCGACCC